TGATCGTTTTAAAATTCTCTTCACAGTACGATTTGTAATTAAATTCAGATTTTCATTTATAACCTATTAAAAGTTTAATTATTAATTTAATATAAAGCAAAACTAGAATTCAAAAATAATCTATTTCTAGTTTTTATTTAGTAACATATTTATATATAATAACCTACTTTAATAAAAGCACGTTCAAGTCGAATAACAGATAAGGTATATTCGTATGCTGAAATCTATCTAGTATCAACAAATCATTTTAGTCTACCTCCAGAAATTTGTAATTCACAAACTGCCTATTGCAAGTACGCATTTGGTTGGTGTGATTTTTTAAAATATTTAATAATTTGGTTACATTCTTTCATAAGACGTAAGCTAAATGTGTGTTCTAAAAAATATTATTAAAAATTTTATTAATAATATTCAATAGTAAGTATTTGTAATTATTTTAATACTAACTGAGAATATCCTTGGATATTAGATTAACGCAGTGTGCTATACAATTTATACTTAAAATATTTGGATATTTTTCTTGAATTTTTTGTCGAGCAAGCTTTATATTATTTGTATTATCAGTTACGATTGCTGCAAATTTATCGTATCTAATTTCAGCTAAGATCATATCAATTTTATTAGCAAGGAATTCAGCAGTATGTAAATCAGCAGAAAAGTCTTGTAACGAGTATAAATATTTGTAATGCATGGGAGTTAAAATAATAAAGCCATAAATTGAGCTTCCATTAGGTGATGTCCATCCGTCTAAAGCTATAAGTATTATAATTTAATTTAAATATTATTAAATAAAAAATTAATATATTTAAATAGTAAATTAACATATTTAAATACAGTATACTATAAGGTAATATATTTAAATATTTAATAAGTAAATTAACATATTTATTAATATTAATTGATATGTTAATTTACTTGTTTAATATTTAAATATTTAATAAGTAAATTAACATATTTATTAATATTAATTGATATATTAATTTACTTGTTTAATATTTAAATATTTAATAAGTAAACTAACATATTTATTAATATTAATTGATTTTTTTTTTTTTTTATATCTTAAGCAATCTTGCCCGTCATTTATTAAGAGAAAGCTTACAATAAGCAAAAAACAATCTAATATATAAAACTATACTAATCTGTTCTCTCTAGACTAATCAGGACTAACTCGGCTGCCTCAAGGGTGCCCAAGTTCGATCTGCCGCAGGAGCCATTTTCTCACGAAAACCTTAGTCTGTATATACAAACACCCAGAATCCGATCAACAAAGGCAACTCCCAGCTATATATCAAGATCCTAGGTTCCTCTCTACCTAGTCGGAACTAAGTAAAGAGAAGTTAGTACCTAGTCTCAAGATATAAAATTATTAATATTAATTGATACGTTAATTTACTTGTTTAATATTTAAATATTTAATAAGTAAATTAACATATTTATTAATATTAATTGATACGTTAATTTACTTGTTTAATATTTAAAATTTTTAGATACATACCTAAGGTTAAGTTATTTGATTTATTTAAAATAGTTTCATGTTTAATAGTAACTTTAGAACTTTCTTGGTCTAATAATCGTCCAGATAAGGTTTCACTTGATGGTGGCGAATAATTTGGGCATAAATTTTGAAGAAAGTCAATAAAAAACAGATTTTCTATTACAGAAAATGGTATTCCACAAACTACGAAGGCCTTTAATAGTGAGCTATTTATAGAGTTTATTTGTCTTTCAGATAAACTATTTTCTAAACTTTGTAGAAAATAATTAGAAAGAATAGACTGCCCATTATTTGATTTTCTTTTTTTAGTAACTGTTGAATTTTCAGATTGCATTTCTTCTTCATAATTATCATAACGAGCCATACGGAGCAAATATATTTGACGAACATGATCATCTACTTTAGAGCATTGTAATGCAAGGTGAGCCTCAAGTCTTGATGGGTTGCCTCTTGCCCATTTAGCTGAACAGTATTTACACTTTGCTGAAAAGTGCCCAGATGATTTAGTTTTTTGTCTGTCAAAAAATTCCCAGACAGCTGATAATTGGCGTCCTCCAGAGGTTGTTGGATTTAATATATTTAATTCAGAAGTAGAAGCCAAAGAAGCCAAAGAACTTGATGACTCTTGTCTTCTAAAAGTAAGTGTCAGAGGTTTAGATTTTTGTTTACTATTTCACATCGCGCGTTCTTTTTTGAAAATAAAATACAGTACGTAAAAGGTATATATAAGTTGATTGTTATACAATGCATCTTACATGTAATAGCAATTTTAAATACGATTATATATTAGATTAACATTAACATTACTTTGAAAAATTCACTTGCAGAGTATTAAATTCTTTTTAATATTTTTAATGTTTTTAATATTTTTTTTTTTTTGTTTTAATGTTTTTTTTTTTTTTTTTTTTATTTTTTTTTTTTTTTTTTTTTTTTTTTTTTTTTTTTTTTTTTTTTTTTTTTTTTTT